GTAGCCTTCCCAGCTGGCAGAACACAGTGATTGATGGTAACAGCTATAGCAGTTAGCAGAAATGGAACATAAAAAAATCCGACAGGCTGGTTGTACCCAAGTTGATCGATGGATCAATTTGGGTACAATGATACTACCCATACGGGGGTCAAATCTTGGCCGATTGGGATCTCTGGAATGATTTTAAGGTATTTATGAGGATCAAATGCACAGAGAAATTAAAAGAAAAAACAGAATGAAGCAATTGATAATTGAAATTTAAAGCATATATTATTTTTTCTTTAGTTATGCTGTAAAACTAACAATAAAGTTTTCTTTTTTTCTCCCTATTGATCTTTGAAATATACCTGTCAAGTCTGCCATAAATGTAGTCAGCTGATAACTTTCTTAATGTACCTCCCTGCCTCTGATAAGCAGCATTGTTCCCAGTTCTTTCTGTGGGCAAAAGAACACCCCTATGTTTGGAGAGGGGGAGGTGTGATGTAGTTTTTTGCTATAGTATGATAACTTCGCTCCTCCATAGTGAGTGAGTATTGTCATCCTACAAATAGAGGTGTAACTGGCAGGACCACCAGAAAAACATATGGAGAAAAGCCTGACAGATGAAAACCAATGCAGACCCCACATCAAAGAATGGTAATCTGCAATATATTACATTTGTGTTCTTCGGTTTAAATACACTTTAAAAGACTGCATTACTATGCATTTATTATTTGTATGACAGTATCGCTTGTCGGCCTTTTGGCTAAGATCAAATGTAGTATCTGTTCTTATCAGTATCTAGTAGGGGTGCTCTGCCATCATTCTTGCTTGTAGGTGAGGATGGCTGGCTGTATAGTACCCCTCCTGGTATGATGGGAGATCCGAAGGTTAGTACCAGCTGGAAGAGAAACCGAGGCGCCCACAGGCTGTTGGGGCCCGGGAGTATTTCCCCCCGGAAAACTGGAGAGGCCCAGTTCCTCCTGATTCAAATGGATCTACCTTGTCTGGCCAGGGGCCGGGGAGGCATTGAGTTCCGCGGAGCAGTGCCCCCTGAGAGTGGTTGCCTCAGGGTTGCTCTTAGTAGCACATGGGGGTGGGATCCCAAGTGTGAAAAGTGCACATGGTCACTGTTTCAAATACTTTTTTCTGCACTGCGCCTTTTAGGGCTAGGCCTTTTGGCTAAGTCCAGGACAATTTTTTTTGCTATGGGCCTCAGGGCCTAGCCAGTGCACAATTGCACGGCCATTTATTTATTTATTTTTTTCCCCACTGTTTTGTCACTTTTCACTTACGTGTGTGTTTTTTCTCAGTAGGATGGAGGGTGTGGGTCCTCGGGCCTGCCCTGAAGTCTAAGAGGAGGATGCGTGGCCATTTGGTTCCTTCCTCCCCTATTCCTGGGGGGGTCTCTCTTCAGGAATCCCAACCACAGGACCATCTGCCTGGAGTTTTTTCATGTTCTCCCTGTGCCTGCGTGGGTTTCCTCTGGGTACTCTGTTTTCCTCCCACACTCCAAAGACATGCTGGTAGGGGTAGGTTAATTGGAACCTGTCTAAATTGTGTATGTATGAATGTTTAAGTTAGGGACTTTAGATTGTACACCCCTTGAGGGTTAGGGACTGATGTGAATGTACAATATATATGTAAAGCGCTGCATGAATTGACAGTGCTATATAAGTACCTGTAATAAATTAATAAATACATATCTTAGGTCAGATAGTGATGATGTGTTTGCTACAACTGTCAGGATGCTTACAGCTGTATATTGCTTTTGGTGCTAATTTAAGTTAATTGTGGTTTAACTCAATGGTGCATGGACCATTTTATTTCAATGGCTCAATTCAAATCTCTCTTTATGCTCCCAAACTCTGACATGCATCAGCATAGTTGCATTCAACATGTAGCTCAGTGGCAGGCATCTTCTTTAGGAGAACACTCACTTCACTTCACTTTGAAAACTGGGGTCCTTTTGGCAGTTGTCACTACACATATGTGAAGGAACCCCAAGACAAGCTAATCTGTGTCTTCAAAAGGTTGCTTAAAAAGATATTTGTTGTTTCCCATAAAAACAATTGAATTCATGCTCACTTTTTCACACCTCCATTGCACAAATGACAGTTGGAAGATGATGGCTGCTGTGGGCAACATGAAGTTTTCTTTATGGCTCACATTTCGAGCTCATGCTCACTTGAGCCCAAAAACGCTGCTTTTACAGATGTTTTTTTTCTCTGCCTCTAAATGTCCCTCCATGTTAGCCTATGTGTCCATGTACACTATAGGCATTTACAGGAGTTTAGAGTCAGGGGCATTTAGAGGCAAAAAAAAAAAAAAAAACCCATCAAAGTCGATTTCAGGAAAGGAGCTTTTGAGCATAAAAACTCTCAAAAGTGTCTACAAGCACATACACATGCGAAAATTGGACATTCAGCAGTCCAGTAATTAGGCAAGCCATCATTTTGTCCATCACACTAGGCATGTTTATGCACGTTTGTGCAGTAATACATTCCAATGGCCAGAATAAGTTAACATTCTGGCCAACAGAATGCATTAACACCAGAGACATGAAAAACTGTGTCTTTTATCCGCTTTTTTCATCTGCTTAGCTCCTGTAGGAGATATGGCCTTATATAAGAGAATACAGTGTGCATGTGGCCTTCATGTTTGATTTTTTTTTTTCAAATGTTTGAAGGGGTCTGAAAAAAAAGGTCATATACTATTACACATCCCCTACTCAAATCACATCATATACTATTAAAGACCAATAGTCGAATCAATGTTTTTGGTTAGGCATTCTTTGGCAGAACTGAAAAAAGGAAATACACTGGGGCTCCTGATTGCTTATGTGTCTATTATAACTTTTGTTAAAAGTTGAATAAACACCTCTTAAAAAAAAGAGGATATAAGGGGTGAAGGAGGAGGTAAAGATCGGTCCCCTAGGAAGTGCATAATTGCTGTCTCCTCAGCTCCATATGTATTTTGTTATCAAAAGGACAGACATGAAATGACAGAAGAGATACAATACAATGTAACTCAATGTAAAAAAGCAGCAAGCTTTTAGGACTGTGTGGTTCCTTCTTTATAACTGTTTTATGTCCATCGCCTGTGTTCATTGCATTCATCCTTTAACATTGATAACACACAAAGAAAATACTAAAAAGTATTTTAAATGATGCAAGCATAAAGAGAATCTTTCACCTACAAATACTAAACAACTCATTCACTCCTTTATTATTTCACGACTTGACTACTGTAACTCCCTCCTCATCGGCTTACCTCACCGCAGACTATCCCGCTTCAATCTATCTTGAATGCTGCGGCCAGACTCATCCACCTTACTAACCACTCTGTATCCACCACCCCCCTCTGCCAATCCGTCCGCTGGCTTCCAATTGCCCAATGGATAAAATTCAAAATGCTAACATTGACATACAAAGCTGTTCATAATACTGCCCTAAACTACATCACCAATCTGGTATCCGAATACCACCCAAAACGTACTCTCCACTCCTCACAAGACCTCCTACTCTCTACTTCCCTGGTCTCCTCCTCCCATGCCCGTCTCCAGGACTTCTCCAGGGCTTCCCCCATCCTCTGGAACTCCCTACCCCAATCCATCAGAGTGGTCACCTACTCTCCTCACTTTTAGGCGCACCCTGAAAACCTATCTCTTCAGGGAAGCCTACCCCGCCCTCAGCTAATTACTGAACTCCTCCACTCTTCCTACCACTCCATCCCCCACAGCTATTTCCTCCTATACCACTATCCCCTCCCTCCTAGATTGTAAGCTCCAAGGAGCAGGGCCCTCGAACCTCTCGTGTATTGAATCGTATTGTTACTGTACTGTCTTGTGTACTTTCTCCCATTATAATGTACAGCGCTGAGCAAACTATTGGTGCTATATACATCCTGTATAATAATAATAATACAAATGAAAATTGGACATTCAGCAGTCCAGTAATTAGGCAAGCCATCATTTTGTCCATCAGTGTCTGAATGAATTTTATATCTTCAAAATCAGCTCACTCTGAACCTTGCCATGTTGAATAAATCTCTACAATGTTTAGGCGCAGAGAGGTGATGAGATCACTGACTTTATGCTGCATTTATGTATCTGTTTAGCCACTTCCTTCAAATGTTGGAGAGTTATGTAAAGGCGTCAAAATATTTTTTTTTCATTGCTGCTCACTTGGCAATGGCAGCATGAATTATAAAAAAAGAAGACGCATATTTCTGCAGTGTCTCACACTGTTCTACAAGACTGTAATCTTTCTTTTCATGTCAGAGATGAACTTTACTAGATGCCTCAGCCCACATCTCGGTATATTCTGTTGCCTACACAGAGAAAAAAAGCTTAACAAGGTACTTATAGTGGATTTTATTGGCCTTATCAAATAGACTGTGGGAAGGCTTGTCTCAAACAGTGCTGCTTCATAACGTACAATTAGATTCAAATTGCCACTGTAAATGAAAGTTGGAAAATGACAGTTTGCTTGTGATTGGTTGCAGAGTGAGACCATTGGGCTGATATTAGGCAGCTGAGAATCTTACTACAATGAATTTAATATATTTCACTTTAATTTTCCATTGATGGGAAAAGCAAATTCCTGTTAACTTTGAATACCCAACCTTGTGCAGAAGAAATAAGTAAACAGGAATTAGCTTTCACATGATTAGATAATTGAAGTGATTATTTACCCAATTTATTGTGTTAAGATTCTCAATCTCTTTAGAAAATCAGTCTTTAAGCTTTCCTAAAGCTGGGAACACACCATCAATTTTTTTTTTTTGCTCAACCCAGCAACTGAGCGAAATAAAAAAAACTATCCAATGTTAGTACAGCAATCTTCCCACTGAGCTATTGTGTTGTGACAGGGGGACTGCCAGAACACACTAATTATAGCTGGCAGCCATTGGCTGCCTGCACTGATTGAATGCTGATCAGATTCTGGTTTATCAGCATGCCCGTTCATCAGAAGCCAGCCATTTGGCCAGCTTCTGTCGGACAGATGGGTGTACACATGGGCAGGGGCGGACTGACCATTTGGAAACTCGAGCACTGCCTGGGGGCCCGGGGTCAGTAGGGGGCCCCATAAGATGCCCCTGGTACCTTTTTCATAGGCTTTTTTGAGTTTGAGCAAGGACACAGGGGCCCCATGATCCCCTATTGCCCAGGGGCCCCATGAGTTGTCAGTCCGCTCCTGCACATGGGCCGAATGTCCTGGCTGATATTCGGCCTGTGTGTACAGGGCTTTACACTCTAAGGCCTCATGCACACTGACAGTTAGAAATGCTGCCTTTAAGGGCATCTGGCATTGTTTTTGCTGCATTTAAATGACCCTCCATGTTAGCCTATATGTCCATGCACACATAGGTATTTTGAGTCAGGGGCGTTTGGAGGTAGGAAAAAAAAAAACCCACTGCCAGTGCATCCAGGAGCAGCAGCGTTTTGGCAGAAAAAAAGCTTGGTATGAGTAAATGCATGTTAACACTAGGCATGTCAACCGCTTGAGCATTAAGTAATTTCAATGGCCAAAATAAATCATTATTCTGGAAATTAAATTAATTAACGCCCAAACATTGACATGCTTAAATGTGTCTAGACACATATTTTCTGCCAAAACGCTGCTGCCCAGGAGGAAAGACATTTAGGAGAAATGGGCAAATGCCCTATGTGCATAGCACCCTGTGTACATGGGGGATCTTAACAGCCCCAGGGTCAAAGTGATCATAAAAGTAAGGACTTTTGTGACTCCTTTTGTTTCTACTGTCTGCATGCTTCTTACACTTCATTGCCTAAGTAAGAAGAATTAGGACTCGTTCACACTTGACTGTTTTTCCAACTCTTGCCAAACGCCCCTATAGCGTTTGACAAGCATTGGCCCGACATTTACGGAACGTTTTTAACGCTCCGCAAACTCCGCAAGCGTGGTTTAGTGGTGGTTGCTAGGCATTTTCCAAGTGTTAAAAACGTCCCACAAACGCCTATAATGAAGTTTGAATGGTGTTAATGCTCCGCAAATATCCCGCAACCGCGTCGCAACCGCACCCCAAACGCCGGCCGGGCGTTTTCGGAGGGGCACCATAGACTTGAATAGGAGGCTTCAACTCCTCCTGACTCGACCAGAGGCATCCGTTTTGCCACAACGCAATGTGATGCTAATGCTCCCGTTTGAACAGCGCCATGTGCTGCAATGTGCAGAATTTTCCCAGTAAAAACGCTTCCCAAATGCCTATTTGCCGCTTGCTAACAAGGCTAGTGTGAACATAGCCTTAGGTAACCAAAATGCTCAAGGCAGGGCCAAAACATATGAGGCAATTAGAGCATGTACAACCTGCTATGCTCTGTTATCAATGGTCAACTTTGGAGATTGTTCACACCTGAGCTGCGTAGCACAGCAGGGTGCCTCATGATAACCACCCATAAGAGATGGTCCATTTTATCATCCCGTAGGGTGCATTTTACATACAGTGCAATGACAGACATGCTATTTAGGACATTCAAACCACACTTTAAAAATCACAAGTCATTTTAACTAATGGTTTTCACCACGCAGATATGGAGGAGCAGTTAGACATTATTAGCCTGTATTTTAAAAAGAACAAGAAGCTGCTATTAAACACACAACCAAATCAGAATTCTGTTTGCCAATGTAATACCTGATTGGTTGCTATGAGCATTTATGACATATGAAATTGGCACTCTTGTTGAATAAGCCCACCAGGGTAAATATGATCCAGCAAGTGTTCTATGTTTGCCTACAGCTCCCTAAAGAGTTACTTACTGTGTATAACGATTAAAATGCATTTTATGTCACCTTGAGGTACAGAAGCAAATACTCACTACTCCAAAAACGGAGTAAAAGTAGATAAATTCTTGGAACCTCAACATTAGCAGCCTTTTTAATAAAGTTTTCATATCTTAAAACATTAGGGATTTATTTATTAAGAAGTGACATAATAAAATGTGTACCCCATTTCTCTGCGAGCCCCCTTTGGGAATGTTTTCTGACAAGTTTATTAAAGAATGATTAACCATCAAACAAATGTTCCCTATATTTGCTAGCAAACACAATTGTAGGAAAAATAATTTAAAATAGATATAGGTATTATTTCATATCTATAGTGGTATGAATTGTACTGTATCCTTCTTCCTCCTGTTTTCCCCTTCCCTCCCCCTTTTTCCCTCTTTTTTTCTACTTTTCTGCCTTCTTGTTTTTCCCCGCATAGGCCTACGTATAATAACATACGATTATATTTGTCAACTTATATTGTAAATGCTGGAAAATAAATAAAAATATATTAAAAAATGGAGAAAAATAAAAAAAAGAATGATCAACCTCATAAACAGTAATCTGTACTTTGAAAGTTTTAAAGAAAATTGCTATATTCTTAGGAAAAAATTACACAGAACGTCAAACATATCTGTTGAAATGAGATGAAGAAAGAGGAAGCAGCTATTTTAAAAGCAATTCTGTTTACTGCTGTCATAGCTGGTTCTAGCTTTGCAAATACTTTTTTCTCAAAGTATATGTACACCTCGTTTTATTTTATTTTCACTACAATGGGAAAATGTCTGAAAATGGTTAGAAATTAGTTAGAAAATGGTAAAAAAAAAGGAGTGAACTAACACACTCCCCCGGAACAAACCTGTCCAAAAAAATCTTTGGATAGCTTGAACATTTTGGCATGACCATATCTCAGTAAGTGCCATCCTCCCATGGTGTTTAGCCCATCCTTCAGTCTTTGCTCCATCCACCACTGCCATTTTCCTTGCTGTTTCTTCCAGCTCCCCAAATGCTCTTTTTCAATCATTGCCCGAAACCTGACTCTTTTCTCAGCATGCTGAGAATGAACCAGAATGTATAATGTATGGTGCATGCACCATGCATTTCACAATCTAAAAGAAAAACTGCTAGGAGCATATAGGATAGGGTTTTTTTATGCAAAATTAACTTTGCAAAAAAAAAAATCAGTTTTTTAAAGTGGGACTTTAGTTCTACTTTAAAGTGATAATAAATCCTCAGGTTCTTTTTTATTATTATTTAAATAATAGTCATATTATAATTACCTGCTCTGAGCAATGGTTTTGCACAGAGCAGTTCCACTCTTCCTCTTCTCCAGTCCCCTGCCAGTGTTCCTGGCTCCTCCCCGCTGCCCAGTGCCCCAGTGGAAAGCTGCTTCCTATGGGGGCACTTGTGAAGGCTCACTCCTGAACTGCCCTAGGCTTGTCACAGGATTTTATTGACAGGAGGTGGAGTCAATGGCTCTTACTATAATCTGCCCAGTGAGGAGGCACAAAGCTGGGAGTTGCAGCTCTTGTGCACATTGCTGGATCAAGATCGGGCCAAGTATAAGGGGGTGAGGAGGGGATTTTGTGACACTGAAGGTTTTTTACCATAGAATGCATAGAGGTAAAAAAAAACCCCTGAGGATTTAGAACCACTTTAAGTGTAATAACCCATAACAGCCAATCAGTATCTAATTTTAGCAGGATGAATTGTAATTGGTTTGCATTGGTTTCTGCCCTTAAAAATTGGGTCATAAGAACTGTTTACTAAAAAAGGCAGCTAGTGTCATAGTAATTTAGTTTATTTAAGCAGAAATATATTTTTTTAATTAAAAAAAAGAAAAATTGAACCAAAAAATTAAAACATGGTTTGAACCACTTATTGCAAGGATGTTTTAGGATGGAACAGGTTTTTAGCTATTCCATTTCATTCCCACACATGAGGTACAAATGTAAGAGGAAGAGAGAGTGGGGTTGTTTACTAAAGCTGGTTCATTCAGAATCTCATGCACTTCTGCATGGAAACCAGTCAGCTTCCAGGTTTTATTAATTGAACAAGCTGAGGTTAGAAGCTGATTGGCTACCATGCACAGCTGAACGAGGGTAAGTGAACCAGCTTTAGTATATCTCCCCCACTGTGTAGGAGATGGGGTCATGCAGTGCTAGGCACTTTAATCCAGTGCAAAGAATCAGGCAGGGTAATATAAAGATTGACATTACATAGCATAATATCAAGGACACTTCCAGGCAAAAGCATTTCCATGACCCTGATTTAGAGGTGCAATTCTGATTCTTCTCTGGCAAAATCTTCTAAAAATGTTTTACACTGATTGAGAAGTACCTAAGGGTGTACATAGACTGGAAGATGGTCGAGATGATAATTACCATTCTTGAGCAACTCATCACAGCATTGGAACCTGCAATGATTCCTATTTATTGGTGGCAGCAGGGCACATGGCATTTCTTCTCATTCTCTTGCCTTCAAGCAGAAATACTTTTGTGCCAACCTGGAATATCTCACTATATATAAGTCAGGGCCTATGACTGCCAGGGGTGCTCCTGACTGTCCCCTGGGATGCTCAGAAGCGAAGTATCACTTGCTATTATAATGCCATTTATAACCAACCAAGCTAGAAAAGTGAACAAATTGCTTTACAATACATTTACTAACAATATTGAGATATAGTGTACCCTGTCTCTTCAAACATTGACTCAAGTTTCTGTATTCTGTTCTGCATTTCTGTTTTATTAGGTTTGGTGTTTAGAATTGTTCCCCAATGTAAAAAATTTATTTTGCATTACACATATATATATTAGTATGGTACTTAGCCACCAGTTCATGAACAATGTAAAGGGGGTCAGAAGTCTACAGCCTGGAACAGCTTGTGGTCATTTAAAAAATATAATCTGTAAACACTTTATGATCAGGAAATATACAAAACAGGAACTTCACTTTTCCCATTTTTTTTTCCAAGTCCCATGTTACCATGTTCACTGGGTTGTCTATAAAAAACATCATACTAGCCCATCCATTGAATCCAGCATTGCCTTCTGTGATCCGTTGCACTACTCCCACATGCCGGGCCCTGTGCGGCAACCTTTTTTCCTATGTCATCAGGGGGCTGGTGGCTTTTTTCTGCCAGCCCCTAATAATGCCGCATTGTATATGTACAGTGTGCTGGATATTTCCAGGTACATGTGCAGTGTGCTGGATAATTCCTAGTGCATGCATAGTGTGGTATTTTTTGTCTGAAGCCTTCTGGGATACATGATGGTATTCCAGAAGGTTGTGGGCAACTGGGACAATATTATCCTCAAAACTGGGAGTGCTGGAGGTTCTGACCTCTAGAAAAGTAGTTTTGGTATTTGAAATAAAACATTTGCAAATGTGTTCAAGGAGGGGAAAGGAACAACACTTTATAAAGTAGTAAATAGGAATTAAAGCACACTTTAAAGTGGTATTAAACCCA